ATGGGGCGTCGGAGTTCTTTGGGGTCAGGGACCCATAGTTAACCGACGCTGGGTGGCGGACATAGAAAACACCCAACGCACGAGTTCTTGCCCGGATGCGGCAAAGGTGGGATTTGCTTCATGTATGTTGAGGGATCGAGCTCGGGACTGGTGGGGAGAGGTGACTAGCCAGGTGGGGGCAGTCGGTGTGGGTGTGATGAAGTGGGCAGAGTTTGTCAGACGCTTTGATCTGGATTTTGCACCATCTATTGAGGTGTAGCGGTTGGTGAAGGAGTTTTAGGAGCTCCATCAGACCACCGAGACTGTGGCAGAGATCACCGCCAAGTTTCAGGAACGAGCATTGTTGATATCACAGTATGTTACTGATGAGGACATGAGGAGGACGAGGTATCATTTCTTGCTGAGGGATGATATCGGTGAGTTTGTAAGCTTTACAGGGTGCAAAACCCTGAATGAGATGGTGAAGAAGGCCCGTGAGTGGGAGATGGAGTTAGAGTTCTACACCAAGTGGAAGCCCGAGCAGGCACATATAGTAGTAGGTCAGGCTAAAAAGCCTAAAACCTCGGATTCATCCAGTAGGGGCCAGTAGGGATGCGGCCGGTGTGCCACGTGTGGGAGATCACATGGTAAAGTTTGTCGGGGGACGGGCCCAGTGTGTTATACGTGTGCTTAGCCAGGCGACGTGAGCATGGATTGCCCCAAGAAGGGCTTGATTTGTTTCCACTACCACCAGACTGGCCATAAAAGGCCTTTTTTTTAAATGTTAAAAACATGATAGTTTGACTATTTAAATCTTACAAAATAGTAGATTGATAGAGAATTATATGTAATTTTAAAAAAAAAACGATTTGATCATTTTCTAACATTAATTTCGAAGTTTTATTTGATGATCAATGTTGAATGAATGATATGAAGAGGAATTTTTGTTGATTATCGATGATGTTGATCTGATGACGTTGGGAGTACAATTAATCGTAGATGTTGAAGATATTCTCATATTCAAGCAGAATTGAAGGTTGGATTAAAAGAACCAAAAACCATTTTTTTTTTGTCACTGTTCAATGGTGTTGATAAACGTGTTATTGACGAAGATCGATGATTGATTAACATTAGATGATGTTGATGAGGGTTTAATTGAAGAAATTTGGATGATTGTTGACGGTTGGAGGAGAAATTTGGATGATGAACGATCGATTAGGAATGAATTTGAACTGTTATCTAATTCTCTACAATTACTTAATTCAGATTTAATGTTATTATCATATTTACAAGTTTGTCACCGTATCTTTTATACTTAGATGCTAATTAAATGATTGACTGAGAATGATTTCTTCATTCTCAACCTCCTCTCTCTCTCTCTATCTCTCTCTCTCTCTCTCTCTCTCTCTCTCTCTATATATATATATATATATATATATATATATATATATATATATATATATATATATATATATATATATAATCATGGGCCATGAGGGATGATTTTAGTAAAACAAAAATTACGAATAGCATGGATCTCGACATGAAGATGATTTGGTCATTTCCTTTTGGCTCTCAAATCAAAAGATGTTATAGAAGTATCAATATCTTATATAGGATGTTATAATAGAAAAAACAAATGAAAGTAGAATGATATATAATACAAAACAATAATAGAAAAAACAAATGAAAGTAGAATGATATAATACACAAACAAATGAAAGTAACGTCTGTTTTTAGTACAAGAAATCTAACAAAAGATTCACGAATTAGAACATTACCGTGTAACCGTAACTGAGAAAGAAAAATGAAAATTATCATAAAACTACCGTTTTCAAGAAAGATATTAAGAACAATGCATAAATTTGTTTCCTATCATTTACTCTTATTTTTTTGTTTGTTTTTACTTTCTAACATTCAATATGACATATAAACAAGCTTTGATGTATTTACACGAAACTCATGCAAATGTGTAAGATGCAATAGGAAAAGAAGTTAATCCAGTAAACATTTCCTACTAAATATATGAAAATAAAAAATTCAAACATCATATTCAAAAATCATAACCATTCATTTCTTTTTCATATGAAGACATTTAAATCGCCTACTATATGCAATGATTGATATAAAATAGTCTTTTATGTAAAACTCTCATCACTATCAATTTTAAAGTAAAAATGAATTATACCTTTTTTGTATTGAGAGTTGACCATTGACTGTGAACACCATTTGGTTCTAGAATGGTTCTAGAAGAGAATGTCTTTATAAACTTTCTTGCTTTAATATATATATATATATATATATATATATATATATATATATATATATATATATATATATATATATATATATATATATATATATAAGGACCCACCATTAGTTAGTGACAAAGTCATGGACAAAAGAATAAAGTACAATTACAAATCGACTAAGTCACTCACAAAAGAAATTAAGTACAATTACAAAAAGATAATGGGAAAAGAAGAACAACTCTAGAATACTTACACCAAGTGGACGACAGAGAAATGATATTACGAGCTACCTTGATGGGAGAATAAATAATTTTATTGAAAACTTTGTTATTTCTAATCGTTCAAATGCACCATAAAAAACATAATATAATTGATCTTGCATTTATTCACATACAATTCCTCCATTTAGCCGCAAAGTCAAGATCTTCCACACCATAGAAGTGAGGGACGCGAATATTATACCATTTAAAAATCCATTTCGTGGTTGATGACGAAAATGCACAATCTAGTAGCAAGTGCTTCATAGATTCATTGGCTTCGCCACACAGGGGACATGTAGGGACTTGAACAGGCACTTAGTTATTTGTCATAAATAGTAGACAATTTAATTTCAACTAATGATATTGATAACTCTGATCGGTTAATCATTATCATCTACAACAAAACAATTATTTTGGCTATTTTCAAAACCTATTTTGAATTTATTAAGAGTTTATATTTAACCACCTTCATCAACTAGTGTTATATTTATCCGTTTGTTGGGTTGACCGATGAATAAACAGCGTATTGATTTTCTTTATAAAATCCTACCTTTATACTTTTATTTGTTCTCATTACAGTATTCTACTATAAAGTTACACCTTTGTAGTCGCCAAAGCAAGACGAGGAATCAACACAATTGATTCTTGTGCAACATTTGTCTCAACTGTTTAATCTTTGCATTAAATCTCGCTCAAAACCAAATCTTTGTTTCTTGTTTCACTTTTGATATTTCAATTAACGGTGATTTTAGTGTTATCAACATATTTTTGTGTAATTATTATTAATAATAAGATAAGTCGAGCTCCATTTATTAACCGAGTTTGAAGGTAAGAGATGAACACTCGGTGTGATGAGTGTGCACTCGGGAATACAGGTTTAGGGACATCGCCCTGGATGCAGGGTTCCAAGGAGCTGCAAACCCTTGGAATGGTCTAAGGGCAGCGCCTCTAGCGAAGTCCAAGGGGCAGAGCCTCTGATGGTTGTGTCCAATAAATACCATCACTAGAAGGAACTAGGCATATACAGACGACTTGTCGCCCTTAGAAAGTCGTTGGGATAGCTCCGTTGGTAAAAGTAAAAAATGTCGTCGGGATAGATATCGTCGATACAGATCCACCAATGTAGACGACTTGTCATCTACACAGGATCGTCGGGAAAGGTTTTCGAGAAAAAAAAGTTTTATTATAAACCTATACCGACAACCTGTCGTCGGGAAAGGTTTCCAACTGTTTTTATTGTTAAAAGCTATACCGACGACATGTCGTCGGTATATGTGTTTTTTTTAAAAAAATTCACAGATTTATTTCATTTACCAAACTTGTTTTCTAAAACAAACCCAATACATATGTAGAATATATCAAACATTTAATAACCATAAGACTTCAAAATCCACTGTACAAAGCAAAATTGTAGGGAACTCAAATATGCCCGTATAATTGTAGGGAACTCAAATAAAATAAAATTTTATAAAATAAAAATGTAGCACTTTTATAATTTATAAATTCTATAACCATGCAACTAAACATGCAATCACTACCTAAAACAACTTCGTGTGGGTTCCGGTTACATTTCGGGATGATTAGTACATGGTTGCTGCCTCATGATGGATTTTAGATTAGTTTTCTCCTTTATTTTGCAAGTTGGTTGTTGTTTCTAGGTGGACTTTGAAGTTTGTTAATGTTTTTTGTGCTACCTCAAAACATTCTTTGCATCTATCTCTCTATTTTGGTGCTCTTCAAAACAAATGATCTGACAAATGAACAACAAACAAAAATTAGAATATACATGACACTTCCGTAAAATTTAATCAAAAAACTGCAAATTCATAAAACAGAAGTTAAAATTTCTAAATGAAATCTTTGTCCACTTAATCACTTATGTATAATTATGCATTCCTTCAACAAATATCAGTTTCAAACAATAATCAAATTTATATAGATATCAAAAAACGAAAAAGCATTCGTTTTGTTATTATATCATAAATTACTCATTGAGCAAAACAAGAACCAGTTCACCAAAATTTTTATAAAATAAAACGTTGGTCAATATTCAGTTAACATTTGATAAACAAGAATTACATGATGATATGAAAAGAAAACAATAACTGCAAAACACAAACCGTACAAATTTATAAAAATAATTGGTTTTTTTCCCTTATCTCTCCTTAAAACCTTATACCCACCCACATACTATGAAGAAATCGTTATATGCACATGGAAGAGAAGAGATCACTTGAAATTAATGATAAAAATAAGAACAACTACGTAGATTGTTTTTTCTCCCCCTATTAAACTTACCCATGTAAAATCCTCTTTGTGAATTCAATTGATCATATCTTTAATGCAATCAAATGGACTTATATTCTTTGCTATTTCTTTATCCCAATTTCTCTTTAGGCCTTTTTATCAATTGTAAACTCATTGAAAATTTAATGGAATCAGATGAAGAACAAACGAATAGAGAATTTGCAACAGTGTTGTCTTTTTGGTTGTCAATGAGCTGTAACTTTCGACCTCTTCTTTGCCTCACTGTAAAGAACCACTCCCATTATTGTCATTGTAAAGAACACCATTGACCCACCCGTGAAATCTGCTAAACCCCAAATTGAAGATGGAGAGATCTCAAAAACACATGCGATGATGAATATCAGAAACAAAACCAAGGAGAAATTGAAACATGGATGATGAACATAAAGAAAATCAGTGGAGAAACCCTATAATTATGAACTATAACAGATAACCGAATTGAAAAAACTTACAATCATGAAATCGGAATCTTACCTCAAAATAACTGGTATATGTAGCTGTAGAGGTAGCTGTAGAGGCCAGTGGTGGTGAAGGGTTGACGATGGTTAATGCTATGAAGGCTACAACCGGGAAAAATACCCCTGAATCGGAGGTGAAAACTGCAACCGGACAAAAGACCTCAAAACCGGAGTAAAAAATTTGACCAATCACAAAATTAGGAAGAATAGAAGGACCAAGAAGCATACCTGCTAGTTGCCGGCGAATGGGAATGACCGGAGGAGGTTTGGTCGTCGACAGAAAGAGAGAAATAGAGAAACTAAGCAAAATGAACGCAGTGGTCAACGTCTCTGGTCTTGATGGGGCTAAACCCTATGTCGACGATATGCCATCGGTATAGGGTACGTCCTTTCATTTAATTGCTAAAATTAAAAAAAAAATTAAAAATAGAAGGTTGTGCCGACGACAACTCGTAGGGATAGTCTTTTCACGCGGATTGCCAACGTGGCATGGCGACGACATAGACTTTCACAAGACTGCGAAAAAGTTTTCGTTTCCCACGGAAGCCTGCACAACGTTTCCAGTCAAACAAAATTGGTCAAAGTGGGCAAAAGCTATGCCGACAACATGTCCCCGGTATAGCCTTGCTTGTAGCGACGACTTTTGTCGTTTAGATAGGTGTCGTCCCCATAGATAGTTATTCTTATAGTGCATGTTTTGGCGTCATTTTTGGTTTAATTGATTTTAACCAATTTTCCCTCAAGTGCAAATCAGATGTTGATATTCGAGAAAAAGGGTTGAACATTCATATACTCGAACTTATATCATAATTTCTTTATCTCACAAGTACACATCAAGCAATGTATTATGTGTTTTGAATTCGAATTAGGCCTGTAATTTGAATTGGTTTATTCTTAGATTATTGCACTTCTGAATTCGTCTACCCTAGGAAAAAGGGACAAATTACAGATTTCACAAAGTGTTTGATAAACACGATCCTTGGATCCATCTAAGTTTTTATTTATTGTTATTCTGTTCCCTTAATCTTTGACACCTTTCAATGTCCTTTTTCAAATATTTAGTTTCTTGAATCACATGATGATCCATAAGATTAGAAGATCTTTCCAACGATATATGAGCAAAAGAAGGAATATTACACGCAATTGTTGCCAACAGTGTACTTAACCAAAATATCGAGGTAGGTGCAAGCGCTTCCAAAAAGATATTAAACATGTTTCCTAAACGTTCCAGAGACATCATCATGCATCATATTTTGACACGGTTATATTAGTATTTTGAAGGAAAATCTTTAGAGCATATTGTTTTTCAAAATTGGAAATTGGAAACTTGACAATTTTCTCATTATCAGTTATGGTGTTTTCTTGGAAAATACAGTAATCTTTACTGATGGATCAGAAGAAACTATATATCCTTTTAGGTCAACTTTTCTATATTTATCTGGTTCACAATATTTATCGACGATGTTATCATCTCTTCACTCACTAGATTTGACAAAATGTGTTTTATAGCTTTCAACAAGCTCTTGAGAATCAAAATATGTTCTACAGACGTACATATGTTATTATAGATAAAAATAAGTGGATTGCCCATATTCACATTGAAAATAATCAATTTAAGCAGTTAAAAAGAATTGGAGAAATCATACTAAACATAAATGATTAACTTATTTGGTAGAATTTTGATACCAAATGCTCAAAATAACTTTCAAATTTTCACAACACAATAAAAAAAGTTAAGAGATATCAACAAGCAAATTAAGATGGTCCCAACACACTCAAGCTGCAAATTTAGGAGCTTCCTTTTCTACAGAATTTTTTTTCTCCATTTCAATCAAGCTGCAAAAATAGATGATTGTAGGATGTGGCACAACAATTTGCAGTGTAGGCAATGCCATCAATTAATTGTATTGCTAAAACAAGGGAAAGATGTGAGAATGGTTATTAGTGCCAAGGATAAACAGGAGAAGATTTTTCTGAATAGGGAAACTCCTATAATAATTGTAGCTTAATTGTGTTGGGATCTTCTTAATTTTCTTATTGATATCTCTAATGTTTGATTGTGTTGTGAAAAATTGAAAGTTATTTTGAGCCATTGGTATCAGAATTGTACCAAATAAGTTAAGCATTTGTGTTTAGTATGATTTCTCCAATGCTTTTTAACTACATAAATTAATTATTTAGTGAATCGGTGCCAATATAGACAATGTATTTTATTTTTATCCATAATAGCAATGTGTAGTTGTGTACGGATGTAGGAAGTCAAAATAATTTGCCATTTATGTTTTAGGAAAATACATGATTAATCAAAACTTAAACAATAAAAGCTATGAGCATTTTATATAAATCAGTATTATTTGAAAAAAAAAAATAAGAAAAAAACTTATCAAGTTTAGATGTTAGCATATATGTTGTTTAAAATAAGCAATTTCAAACAATTTATATAAAATATTTCATATATTATTTAATTAAAAATATATATTTAATTATTTAAAGTGATCATGTATATTTACATATTTGTACGTGAACAAAAAATTATACATCAGATATACGGAGTACGGACCATATCCCTTCCTCAAAAGTCAAAAAGGTAAAAAGACCATACTCCCTTCCTCGTTAACTACCCGGAAAACTCGGATGTTCCCTCTCTACTTTTCACTCGTCTTCCTTCTCTCTCTATTCCTTTTTGGTTCGTCTTCAATCCTCTCCCCTTCAGGTATGCACATTGTTACGAGCTTGTTTCACATGTTAATAATTCATCTTAGTAATCATAAATCATTTGTTCTTCGGTTATCACGTGATTGAAGTTTGGATTCGTACAATTACTTTACTTGTTTTAATTTGGATAGTATATAGTCCCGCATGCTGTTGCATAAAGTCGAGAATCATGAACAAAAAGTTTTGTGCTCGATCAGTGGGAAATTCTTCAATCCACGAAAATTACTTTCTTACTTCTTTTATTTTTACAATTTATAATTAAAACATTTTTTTACACTAACACACTTTTATATTTCATCGTAAAAATTCCATTGTTTGAAAAAGTACTTGCGAGATTGTAAGACATCTAGGTTGGTGAAGTACTTTTGGTGTCATATTCCTTAAAAAATAAAAAAAATAAAAACTTTTATCACTTGAAGCCATAAACCTAAGTGTAGAACTCAATCTAAAAGCCAGCTTGTAGGAGGATGGATACTTACACTTATATGTCACCAATAGCCTCGTAGATGCAGCCAAAGCTGCTCTTTTTTTAGCCACTTGAATTATCATATGGTTGGTTTAGGTTGTGAGTGGATTTTGTATGATCTTGGTTTTGGTGGTAAGTAACTTATTATAGCATTCCCTAAAAAGGAAAATTCTGATTTTCGGGATGATATTAGCTAAGGGATAATATATCACTCTAAGATGCGATTTTTTTTCCACTTCCTGATTTGTGTGCTTGAGTTCATCACTATGATAGCCTTTTCATGTAAATGTTTTAGTTACAAGTAGGATTGTGTCTAGAGGGAGTACACACCAATTGCTGTTCACTTTGTTTTTTATATGAAGATGAATGGGTGGAGACAATACTGTAGCATGCAAGTGTGAAGCATGCAGCACTCCCCAAATCCGTTTACTCTTAACCCCATAATACAATTTCATCACCTAACCCCACTCATATCCTATGCCCTAATTTCTTTGATTTGACTAATCAATTAGGCAACATGTCTATTTATATATTTTAATAGTAATTAGTTATAAAATCTATATATTACATGGGTTAATTTAAAAAAAAAAAAAAAAGGTTAAATGTAATGATCTAAATATTTGAGAATTTTAAATATATAAGAAAAAAATAATAATGAATTGTTATAATGAAAATATTTTTTATCTTTTAAATTTAAATAAATAAACAAAATAAATTAATAAGTTTTAATTTCGGGAATTGTGAAATTAAAATGTAAGTTTATTAATAAAATTGATTTTCATTTATTATTATATTTATTGCAATTATTACATTAAAATGTTATGTAAAATTTAATAAAATAGAAAAACTTATAAAATAACATGTGAAAAAAAAATAATTCAAAATAACCGCAAAATGATATTTGACAAATTGAATGAGAATGTGACAAATGATAAAAAAAAAAAAAAAAAAAACATTAATTTATTAGAGTAAATATGTTAAAAACAAGTTGAAGCTAGCCCAATTAACTAACATGGAGGTTTCTAATCTAACAACTAAAGCTGTGTTTGGCGCGCCACAACTAGCTGATAAGCTAGCTTATTTTTCGAGCTTTTTTATGTTGTCGTGTTTGGTAAGCCAAAAAGTAGCTTATAAGCTAGCTTTTTGAAAAGCTACTTAGACTAGCTTTTTAGGAGCTTTTTTAAAATTTTCCAAATACACCTCTTAATTAATTATAGAAACACATATTCTTACATGTCCTTTTATGTAATTTTATATATTTCAGCTAGCTTTTCAACTAGTTTTACCAAATGTTATTTTTTATCAGCTAACTTTTTATTTAACAGCTAGCTTTTCAGCTAACAGCTAGCTTTTCAGCTAGTCCGCCAAACATAGCCTAAGTAGGAGGTCATGAGTTCAATCACAATAATATATTTAAATTATTTGCCGTTTCAAAATTTTGTTATTAAGATACCTGTTGATGTTTGCCATCTCCTATATCCTATGATTTTACCCCGTTTTCGATGGTTCTCCAGAGGATTATAGAGATCCATAGAGGTGTATAATGGATTCGTAGAGCTACCTTTGCGGAACAATTATAACCACGAAATTTTTTTCTCATTTAGTAATGTCACGTCATTTCCTCAGTATTGTGCATCGTTGAGGATTAAAATGATCCACAGAGTCCTCTTTACTAGGGGTGCAAACGAGCCAAGCTACTCGCGAGCTACTCGGGATCGGATCGTTAAAAGCTCGACTCGAAATCGATTTTAAACGAGCCCGAGCCGAGCTCGAGCTTAATATTAAGCTCGTTTATTAAACGAGCTCGAGCTCGAGCCTATGTCATTAAGCTCGATTAGGCTCGCTAGCCTAAACGAGCCTTTACATAATATAATTTATTATTATTTATATATCTTAAAATAAAAATATATTAGAAGAATTACGGATTTAGGGTATTAGTAAACGAACTTCTTAACGAGCTCGAGCCGAGCTTAAGCTTATTTAGGCACATCAGATAAAAAACGAGTCGATCCCGAGTCCGAGCCGAGCTTGGATAATTCTTTACGAGCTCGAGCCGAGCTCAGTACAAGAAAGCTCGAATCGAGCCGAGCTCGAGCTCGAGCCTCATATAACTTAAACGAGCCCGAGCCGAGCTTGACCAGGCTCGGGCTCGGTTCGGCTCGTTTGCACCCCTACTCTTTACGGATCTCATGGTCATTTTCCAAAACTCAAAATTTCATGATTAATTTTTTAAAATACCCCCTAACTTTTGGTTATTTTGTGAGTTTTTTCTTATTTATATTACTTTTTAAGATACCTGTTGATGTTTGCCAAACATGCCCTAATTTTGAATAGTACATAAATTTGTTTGATTTTAAATTGTGGTTGAAAACTAGAGATGACAATTTGTTATTAAAAATCGGATATTGGAGCAAACAATTATAAAGTATTCTTGTTAATTGCCGATGAGAGATCACTATTATCATACTTAATTGTTTATCTAGAAAAACTATAATTTTATATAATATATTTATATGTGTATTGTTTTGAGGTCGTTCCTTTTGAAACTTTTATAATTTTCGTCCTAATTATTTAAACTAAACAGTGCGCATGCTGCATGCCTACCTTATTTATTTTATTTTATTTTTATTTACCATCGAGGTGCATGTATTGTTTTTTAGACACTTACAATTTAATTTTAATAATAATAATAATATATGGTATGATTGTAAAGGTTTAAACTATTTAATGAGACTCGAGTTGCATATATAAGATATTCATAATTTCAATCTTTTATAATGTTATTTATGGGATCTCCGGATTGAGGCACAAGTAAAGAAATCATGTGATTCAAAAGCTTCAGAACACAATGCTTACTTTCTGAGGGACAAAAGAGCTAAACGTTGAAAACAAACATTCAGATCATGTATGGAAGAAGATAAGTTTCAGAGCTTACTGGGATTCAGCAACATATAAGGAGTAACCAAAAGTAAATATAGAAAATCTTTGGAAAGTAAGGGGTCATCAACAGAATTCATAATGCTTGTTCTCTCTGAACTTTCTGAAGGATCTTCATCTTCCTCTACTTCATCAACTGATGGTCATAGATATGATGTATTTTTAAGTTTCAGAGGCCTCGACACTCGTAATAGTTTCACCGCTTACCTTCATAAGGCCCTCATGGATGCCAATATCACTACTTTCTTGGATAATGAAGATATTGAAACAGGGGAAGATCTTAAACCAGAATTAGAGAGTGCTATTAAAGCATCTAGAGCTTCCGTTATTGTGTTGTCCAAGAATTATGCTACTTCCACATGGTGTCTTGATGAATTAGTGTTAATCCTTGAGCAGCGTATGATATCCAACCATATTGTTTTCCCCATCTTTTATCATGTTGAGTCCACCTACGTGAGGAAGCAACAAAGTAGTTTTGGAGATGTCATGGCTAAGCATAAACAGAAGATGGAGGCAGAGACAAATGCAAATAAAAGAATTAAGTGGGCTCAAAAGATGGACAGATGGAATAAAGCGCTTATTGAAGTTGCTGGATTAAAAGGGAAGGATGTAAATGGCAGGTAGCCATAGTCTACTCATATTTCCATGGCCCATTAAATGTCCAAATCTGGCTTGTTAGTTTTGTGGATTGCATTTTCTAACTTTTATTAAAATCAAGTTTTAGGCTAGAGCCGGAGTTTATTGAAGAAATTGTTAAGGATGTCTACCGTAGATTGCATGTGCCCTTAAGAAGTCCTCTGCCACTACTTATTGGGATGGAGTCTTCAATTAAATTTGTCTTGTCATGGTTGAAAGATGCATCCTCACATAAGGCAAATATACTCACTATTTGGGGCATGGGCGGCATCGGGAAGACATCTTTAGCCAAATATGTATATGGTTTACATTGTCCTGAATTCAACTCAAGTAGCTACATTGGAGATATTAGTAGGAGATGTGATGAAAAATTTAATGGATTGCTTCATTTACAAAAACAACTCTATGATGACATTTCAAAAACACGTTCGAATCACGTTCATGATATTTCTATATACACCTCAATGATAGAGAATACGGTAGCTTGTAAAGAGGTGTTTCTAGTTCTTGATGATATTAACAGTGTCAACCAGTTGGATGCGTTACTTGGAAGCAAAGTTTTTCATCCAAAAAGCAAGATTATAGTAACAACAAAGGATACATGGTTGACAGAGAGTTGTGCACTATTCAAAACAAACGTTAAACCTCAACATGCAAAACACGAGCTTAAAGGCTTATCTATGATTGAATCACAAAAACTTTTGTGTTTTCATGCATTCGTGTCCAACTATCCTAATGCAGGTTATGAAGACGTATCGGCAAAATTTGTGATGTATTGTGAAGGGCATCCACTTGCTCTTGAAGTTTTGGGCAAGTCTCTACATAACCGAGATGTAGCTTATTGGGAAGATCGCATAGAACAACTAAAGAAAGAAATTGGGTCCCCTATAAATAATGTCTTGAGAACGAGCTTTGAATCTTTGACATCAAATAATGATAAAGAGTTGTTCAAGCATATTGCTTGTTTTTTTGTTGGATTCGACAGAGATGTAGCCGAGATAATATTAAATGCATGTGATATAAGCACGAGATCAGGGATCACGAATCTTATTCATAGATGCCTTCTTAGTATTGGATGGAATAACGAACTAATGATGCATCAATTACTTCAAAGGATGGGAAGGTTTATTATACATGAAGAATCACCAGATAAGCCGTGGAAGCGAAGTCGATTATGGTGTCATGTTGAGTCATTCAAAGTGTTGAAACAAAAAAAGGTAAGATGTTATGTATACTTGTTAGTAGAGGTACTAAATGCAATAAATAGCATTAAACTTCCGTTGATTTCTTTATTATAACATTTTCCAATGATTTCTTACTATTATAGTATTGTACATTAGAAAATCTACCCAAATATAGTAATGTCACGTCATCAAAGTATTAAAAAAAAAACAAAAAGAAGAAAATTACAATGTATAGTTTGCTAGATTGTTTGAAGTATAATGTCCTAAATCTTAATAAGAAAACCATCGACAATACAATGCTATAATTGGGTAGATTTATCGAAGTTCAATTTCTTAATCAATAAAAAATTGAAAGTATAATGTTGTACTAGAAAGAAATGAAGGTAGGTTGCTATAATACATGAATAAATGAAAGTGTATTGTTATTTCTTGCATTTAATCCTTACTTTATGCATATTTTAAGATTGTATTTTATATATAACAATTTTTTAATTCCATTTCTTCTTAGGGTAAGGGAAATCTTTTAGGCTTGACCCTCGACATGAGAATGCTTGAGAAAGAGAAGTTGCATGCATCATTTGAGCTGAAAACAGATACATTGAGTAACATGGATAATCTAATGTTACTACAACTTAATTATGTGAAACTTAAAGGGTCTTATGAGAACTTTCCAGAAGAATTAAGATGGTTGTGTATGCATGGGTTCCCTTTAAAGTCTATACCTTTAGACTTACCAATGGAGAATTTGGTTGCTCTTGACATGTCATATAGCAATATTGAATCATTTGACATTTGTTATAGCAATTCACAACAAATCCAGAGTAGGCAAAATGTAACTTATCTTCATCTATTCTTCTTCTTAAGTTGAGTTGATTAAAATCATTGATATTCTAACCTAACTCCATTTCACAGTTGATTGGATGGTGCTCAAAACACAAAAAGTTGCTTGGATCGCTGAAGATTCTAGATTTGAGTTTTTGTGAGCAACTTCGTAGTATAAGTGGCTTTGACGAATTCTCTGCACTTGAGATGTTAATAGTTAGGAATTGCACTAATTTGCTTGAGGTTTGTGACTCAATTAAGCTATGCTTTGAACTTGTCCTTGTCGATCTACGCTATTGCATCAAGCTTGAAAAACTTCCAAGAATCGTAGGCATGATAAACAAAGTTGAAACACTATTACTAGATGGTTGTTATCTTAGAAAATCTCAATTCGATAGTAAAGATATGGGTTCAACAAAAATGGTCAACGATAACAACTTTGGCATAAACATAATAACCTCTTCCTCCACAACTCTTGAGGTTGTACCAAGTGATTCAAAGCTCTTTACGATTTCTTTACCGAGGACATTATTAAGGTTGTCACTTGTTAATAATAACTTGTCCACCACATCTTTTCCCATGGATTTTTGTTGCCTATCTTTGTTACGAGAATTGTATTTAGATGACAATCCTATCATCTCCATGCCTAATTGTGTGAGAAGCCTTCCTAGGCTCGAGACACTTGGCATGTCAAATTGTAAAATGTTGACATCAGTAGAGAATCCTCCATACACACTAAGAGAGTTTATCCTATATTATGATTGTAAGCCTTTGCTACGAAAAGTTACATTTGATCCAGAAATGTCCCCACTTGAGTTATCAATTGGGTGGAAGATGTTAGCACCTTCGTCTTTTGAAATTGAAGGTGTGATCAAAATCCAACCAATGGCAGGTGTTGAAGAAAAAGTACTTCGTAGTTTAGGCTGGAGTGATCTAGACTTCCTTTCCAAAAGGCGCTTGGGAACTTCATTTGTTTCTAGAGGAAGAGAGGAATCTGAAATCCAGGTTTGCTCTTGTTAATTATGTCTTTATGTGAATATCTATGTATATATAATTAATGTAGTGATTAATAAAAGTTGTATTTGGCAGATGTATTATGAATTTGGAATATTTAGCACAATATATGGACATGGAGATATGCCAAAGTGGATTACATATAGAAGCATGGGGCCATCAATATCATTTACCATCCCATCATCTCCTAACAACCTAACTGGATTGAACTTCTGCCTTGTTCAGTTGCCATTGGATGTTGAGTTCGTTCATTTGCCAAAGATCATAATTAGTAATATTACAAAGAACCACACTTGGATATATGAACATTTTATTGGAAACGCGAATGTAGATGGAGGGTGTTTGACGTTGTTAAGTCATTGGATGTTTGTGATGAATGAGATGGAAGCTGGTGACCATGTTACTATTACCCTGCCTGTATCGATTAATTTTGCTTATCCAGTTACAAAGGAGTGTGGGGTGAGTTTCGTGTATGATGATAGAGACACACATGAAGAAGAAGATGCATTGAGTTATTACAAGTCATGGAATCATATCATTAGCAGAGATCTCATCGGGTTTCAGTTAACAAATGGAAAATACCTCCTATACATATCGCGGTTTTTGGCGCTAGATCATGAAGTGCCATCATGGCATTACCTTGATGGAGAATACGCCCGTTTTAAAGGTATATATCATTGTTATATATTATTTTCTTATCTGGTATTTGTGAGACAAGAACATAATATATAGAGATTACACAACCGATTCACACACTGTTTGCTAATATCATATGTGGATTTTCCTCAAGAAATACTTGTCTCGTTACATAACAACATCCATAAGTTATTAAAACAACAAATTTCTTACACCACCAACATATATGCTACAACTAGCTAGGCCTTTCCATGGATCTGATTTGAACCGGATAAACAAATATCGGATATCAACCATGACCCGACTAGATGTGTAATCTTCCAACACATTAACTAATGGATCATAAACTGACCCATGATCCATGACCCAACTTGTTAAAATAGATGGACCGGGATAGTTTTTTAATGATAAATAATTCATGTTTCGATTTTCAATCATTGTCAAATCTCTAATCTATTTCTTTTCATTAGATAAACAAGTAAGCTTTAGAGCTTTCTCTGAAAGGATGTTTGACATACTGGAGGATGGCTCCTGAGGTACTATTATATCCTGAAAACCCTTTTCTAATCACATGATCAAAGACACCCACTCACACAAACCAACTATTACTAGCTTTTTTCGAATAGATTTTCATGCAAGCTTAGGATGGAAAGAAATATAAAAGTTTCAACTTTGCATTGAATACATGGAGCTTAGAATTCATGATTCTCAAACTTCAAAATCTCCTTGGGGCCAATTTCATTGGTTATTGTTACTATGCACGTGTTTTCTTGCAAAGCTATTCAATTCTAAGCAGCCTTCTTTTCAGTTCGTTTTATATAGGTTTGTTAATGGCAATTTTATTTATGCATCTTTTACTTTTCTTGTTTTGTTGTCCCAAAGAGTTGGATCATCGAGACTTAATTACATGCTCAAAAGTTATTCAATACATGCTTACAGCATATCGCACAACATAACTGATCATATCACACAAGTTTTTGTGCTAGTAAGCTGATTTTTATGCTCGTAGTTTACTAATATATATGTGTTTCTTTAGAAGGAAATAACAAGTTAATTACACATCTCCTCTCATATAAAGTTTTATCCAAAATCACGTAGAAATTCCCTATCAAAAGCTTGTTTAAAATCACCACCCCCTGCTCTCTTTTTATTTATAACTCATGTGCCTAAAAAACCTGTCATCTACCTCTTGTATGTTGCATTATTGTAGTTGACTTCTGATTTGTTTTTTGTTTCTTTCATGTAGAGGAAGTATCTACAGAAGTTCCTCGTAAGCTTCAATAGATATATCTATATGCTAGAAATGCTTTAAGTTTTGACCAAAATTTATTAGGATTCAAGGAAAAAAAAAGGATTTGATAGCTAGTCCAAATAACTAGAAAGATGAATGTCACCCTTTATGTTGGTATAGTGATATACATACTTGCAGAAAAATAAATAAATGCACTAGTGGATGTCTTAACTATACGCAATATTTCCAAGAACATATTTTTAAGTATTATGTAAATGCGTTTGATAGCTTTTTACAGAACTTTAATGGCTTTATAATGATTAGTTAGTTGTAATGTTAATGTAATTTAGCAACTCAAGGACTTTTTATCAACATCTATGGAGTATTTGAAGTTAATGGGAACCAAATATGTGTCCCTTAAACTTGTTATCTCAATAACTACGGGTGTGCATTTGATATTGTGCTAAATCCTAAATGCAAGAAATAGCTATTTTCATTTTTCTAATTATTGTAATTTTGTATTTTCAGATTGTCTTCAAAACTCATGGTCCTTTAAATTGACAACGTTGTAGGATTATTTCTAGTTTTTTATTATTAGGAGAAAATCCTTAAAAGTGTTACGCAATTTGGGCTATTATTCTAAGAGAAAAAACCATATAAAACTGTGAAACAGATATAGCAAAATAGAAAGAATTAACAATTTTTGGAAACCTTTTCCAGCTGAAATATGTTTTCCACAGCCAAACACAACCTAAGTTCTCAAGATATTTAACCTCATTTGTTCTCATACTAGACATTAAAAAGGTTTTACAATTTCTTCAAATTATTACTGATTGTCATGACAATATTCAAAATTCAAAACTTTAAGCTGGAAGGGATAATTTTTCCGATTAACTTGAATAATAATGCAATCGCATATCAAATTTCTTTCTGTTGTGTATAAATAATTGTGTTGTTTGTTTGTAACTTTACAGGTCAACCATTGAAGTATGTTCTCTTAAAGCAATTATGATCCAATTAGACCTTCTTGCCTACTGTCATATTTTCTTCAAATATAACAGCAGCTAGTTGATGTTTTGTTGGAGTGCAATAATTCATTTGGTCAAATACAGGTAACACTATGTACCAATATATTATGCTATGGTATAAGTATAAATCTTTTTAGAATTTGAAAGAGTAAAAGAGACCAACATATAATAAGGGATCAGATTTGGGAAGTCGTGGATGTTCTTCAAAGATATGGAACGAAATCAAAAGCCAAAAATCACTTCACCACAATTTCAAGACTTTGAATTGCTTCCTTTGTTGTTATAACTTTAATGCATTTCATTTTCATGTAGAAAACTTTTCATTTACTTGATGCTTAAAATAAAACACAAACATCGAAAAGATTTATAAACGTGATTAAACTAATTTTTTTGTATGCAGATCCACTCAAAAGTATATTCCCTTGTTCAAAAAGTGCAGCACATGTTACAGCCTTCTTGTGCTCATTTATATCTGATACAAGATTCATTGTCGTCCCCTTCATCTCGAGGACGGAGTAGGTGTCTATGGTGGAAGTTAGTCGATATTGAGGGCAGAATCATATGTGGTGAGAGTTAATCATTGCAGAACATGAATCGAGAGGTGTCGCCGACACCACTGGGTTTTGTCGTCGGAAAAAAATGGGTGTGGCCGTGGGGTAGGGACCGAGGGAGACGACATGGGGAAGAAGAGAGTATCATGGGGCGAGGGATGGGCTTTAAGAAATGAATACCATTTAAAAAAAATGATTTTGTTATTATTAACTTATTCATAAAATACAAGAAATTGTTTTGTTAAAATATGCTGCCCACCTTCTATATAATTATATTATAGTAACCATTTTTTTCCGTAAAATCATCAATCATCTCACCTCAACCTGAAAACCATAAGTACGCCAGGTTCAAACTCCAAACATATATGTGGCCTAGGAAAAAAAAAAAGGTATTCAAAGACAAATATAATAAATATCAAAAAAATATCATTTATTCTTCGTTATAAAATGTGTTTAATTAGCAATAACAAGCAACCAAAATTATTTATCTTTTAAGTTAATTTGAGCTTGAACCAACTTTAAACACTAACAATCATTTAGACAATAATTATATATATATATATATATATATATATATATATATATATATATATATATATATATATAATCATTTAGCTTGAACTAGCATATGTCTCCTGTGGAGTACCGAACTATCCTTCGTTACCGCCTCATTATTCATATATTCCCAATTGACGAGATATGCCCAGTTTGTTGCAAGGCATGTTTGGATACCTTTGGGGAACACGTGGTTCATTATAGAGAGCTCCCTAGTTTCAAGTATAGACATGATGTGGTTCAGGATGTTCTCTTTGATGCTTATCGGCGTGCTGATATATCTATGAAGAAAGAAGCGCCAGTGAACTTTTTGACGGACCCGCAGGATGGCAGGTCCACACTTAGACCGGCTGACATTTTGGACTTTGGATGGATAGGGGGAAACATGCATGCGTGGATCTTACTGGTGTATCTCCTCTTGTTGGTTTGGGGAGCGGAGGTTTCGCAGTTGGGAATGCCGCTTTGAAAGCCGCTGCGTGCAAAGTGGTAAAGCACGAGAATGCATGTAGAGAAAATCAACATGTGTTTGTTCCTTTTGCATTCGATACATTTGGTTTTCTCGCACCAGAGGTGGTGAAACTCCTTAATAGAGTCCAACGGGTCATGCATTCTAATGTCATATCTCCTAGATCCACAAATGTTGTTTTCAAAAGAATTGGTTTTGCCATCCAGAAAGGACTAGTGGCGCAGCTTGTTGCCCGTTTGCCTTCAATCGATATGTATTGAACTGACAATTAGTTTAACATTAATTATAAATATTTTATACATTGTTATATATATATATATATATATATATATATATATATATATATATATATATATATATATATATGTTCAGGTTCATTTGAAACCATTCTAATTTTGTGAGATCGTGAGACCAAATCTAAAAACAATTTTAAAATGCAAAATAAATGGAAAAATCCAAAAAAAAAATTTAATATTATTTTCGGAACTTCAATTAACTAAAAAAAATTTTAAAAAAAAATAAAAAAAATGATAATTAAAAAATGCCGTTGTTTTTAAATACGTGAAATATTCTAATAGAATATTACACTAACATATTCTAAAAAATAATTTTAAAATGCAAAATAAATGAAAAAATCTAAAAAAAAAATTTAAATATTATTTTCGGAACTTGAATTAACTAGAAAAAATCCTATTTTTTTTAAAAAAATACGTTAAATATTCTAATAGAATATTACATAGTAGATATTCTAAAAAAATAATTTTAAAATGAAAAATAAATGGAAAAATCTAAAAATTCTTTTTTTAAATATTATTTTCGGAACTTTGAATTAACTAAAAAAATAAAAATAAAAAATCCCGTTTTTTTTTTTTGAAAAATACGTGAAATATTTTAATAGAATATTACACTGTACATATTCTAAAAAATAATTTTAAAATACAAAATAAATGGAAAAATCTAAAAATTCTTTTTTTAAATATTATTTTCGGAACTTGAATTAACTAAAAAAATAAATAAAAATAAAAAAAATGTGTCTCACAAAATATAGGTGATCTCAAATGAACCTAAACCTATATATATATATATATATATATATATATATATATATATATATATATATATATATATATATATATATATATATATATATATATATATATATATATATGGAAAAGTGAATATACCCTTAAGGGTATATAAGTTTAGGTACCAAAACTCACCATAATACATCGTTTTGTTTGATATATTCATTATAATGTTCTTAAACTTCAACCATTAACTTGATTTACTTTCAAGATTTTCAAAATTTTACTATTATCTTCCACTTATATCACACATTTATACCGAAAACCTACTAGGCTATATATATTATAGTTAAAAATGAAAATTATATAAGAGGAAGATAAATGTAAAATTTATAAAAATCTAGAAACTAAATCAAGTTAAAAGTTGAATTAGAAGAACATTGGACAATTACAATGTGTATATGTGATATAAAATGACCTAATATGGTGAGTTTGGGTATCTAACGTTATATACCCATAAGGGTATATTCACTTTTCCCATATATATATATATATATATATATATATATATATATATATATATATATATATATATATATATATAGCCTAGGAAAGTTGGGCCCCTGGAGAAGTGGGTCGTGGGTGGTTGCCCGGGTTGCCCACCATCTGGATCGACCCTGACGCCATCACTCTTTGGCCAAAACCTACTGGACCATTATCACTCTCTCTTGTCGGTAAACCACTGAAAGACCATGAAACACCACCGCCCCATGTATTAAACAATGCTCAATACAAATCATATATCGGTAATGGTATGGCCGTGAATCTAAACCCTAGATCTACATATTGGTGTTCTTTCTCATTTCGTAAAGACCCAAATTAGTAAATAAGTATTAGAAAATTGTGTTTAACATCTTGACAGAAACTTGACGATAGATCCATTTGTATTAACCTTCGACATTGATTTAAAATCAGGGTTTGCACTCGTAGAGGACCACTCATGTTGTGGATGTTGTGGCAGCAACTTTACACTTGTGGAGGACATTGGAGAGAGAAAGCATTGGTAGATTTAAAGGGAGGAAGGGCCAAATCCATCACATGTGATGAGGTTTGGATAATCCTTCGAGTAAAAGACTCATCCCTACAACGGTTAGACTCAAACAAGAGCTGCGTAGTAGGGCCAAATCCAGCACTCTGAGATTATTCAACCCTGATCACATGCGATGTGAAGTATTCACCTAATGGCTAACTCCCATTATTCGGAGTCCCACAAAGCACAAAGAAAGCAGCATTCGGACACAAGAAACTACTCAAGCAATTCTATCCTGACAACGAGAAACTGTACTAGCATACAATGCTAAGCTCATACTATCAGGCATAACCTAACAGGCTATCCTACTGCTGTCTACTCAATACTAGCATGCAATTCTCATAAAGCTGGAACACATATAGCAGGCACATAAGGCATCTTCCTAGATCCTTAGTCCTATTCTAGCATGCTGTTCTACTGAAACTGGAACAGATAATCATAACATAATCTTGTATGGGTAATTTGGGAGTACTTACTTGAGCTCGGCTGAACGCATGCACCACACCCTTTTCTTGTTTTCAAAACTCTTTTCTTTTTAATTCTTTTCCTCAAAAATTATTTTAAAAACATTTTTCTTTCAAAAATCTTTTTACTATTTCCCTTAGTTTGAGTTCAGTCACACCCGTAAGTGTGCCCGAATCCCTCAAACCAAGGCTCTGATACCAACTTGTAACATCCCAAAATACGACCCAAAAAGTTTTGTTTAATCATGACTAAATCATTATATCAATATCATAAAACAAAAACCCATACGTCAATATCTCAAAACCATAATAAAGTATCCTGAGAAAATTGTATGAAGACTGTATCGACTCCTAGGACAAAAACTGAAGCGGACTCGACTCCTAGGACAAAAACTGAAGCGGTGGTGTATGTGATGCTATCATCCCGAGCTCTTCCCTTTACTTGTGGAAGTACCTGAAACCAAAATTGAAACTGTAAGCATGAAGCTTAGTGAGCTCCACCAAACTACCACATACCATACAATAACATATAAAGGACATATTGGGCCTTGCCCACTGCATCAGACCGAAATCTGGAAACTTCATCGGACCGAAGTTCGGAACTAACCAGGGCCTTGCCCTCTGCATCGGACCAAAGTCCGGAAACTGCATCGGACCGAAGTCCGGAACTGACTGGGACCTTGTCCCCTGCATCGGACCGAAGTCCGGAAACTGACTAAGCATAACATAGCATAGCATAATAATATCAACTAGCATAAGCACATATACTGCATACTGCATCGGACCGAAGTCCGGAACACATAACACAAAACATGCTTGAATCACAAAGACATCAAGCAATATAACTATTGCATCGGACCGAGGTCTGCAACTACTGCTAACTAAACGGGTTGGCATTGTGGTCGTAGACCCGTTCCTACTGGAAGGAAACTCACCTCGTAACGCTGACTGCTGAGGTGCTAAATGCTAAATCTGAGACTGTCTGACTGTTGCTCCGGAACTCCCCGACTACAAATCCCATAAACACTAAATCAAATACTGATAACTAATCTCAGGGTGAAATGACTATTTTACCCTTGGTCAAATTCAACTTCCTGGTTGACTCTACTCGCCGAGTCCTACTATGAACTCGCCGAGTTCCCGGACTCACACTTCTCTAACTCGTGACTCAAATCGCCCAGTCGGGATGTAGACTTATCGAGTCCCTCTACTTTTGGATCCTTGTTCTAACTCACTGAGTCCTCTTCCACTCGCTGATTCAACTCACAACTCTAAAATCGAAGATATCAGGAGGGTTTGCGCTCTAACTCGTCGAGTCCAAGAATAACTCGTCGAGTCCTATGCATGTCCTCACTAAACAGTTGATTCTAATCAATTCCAGTGCATCCAATTCATAGATCTGAGCGTCTAGGGCCGATATAACACG